TAACCAAGAAAGGAAAATGTTACATTTAGAAAGAATAAAAAAAAAAAGGGGATAAAGAACATAACCTAATTTTCAAAAAAAAAGTTTAAAGGTTAAATGTAAAAATTTAATTTAGAAATTTTGATTTCAACTAGTAGATTAAATTATATGAAATAAAATTATCTCTCATTATATTTAAAATATACAAAAACAGTCCCATCAAATTAATTAAAAAAAATAAATAATATTACATTCAAACTTGAGTAATATCTTATACGATTAATCAAACTTCCGTTGAAAAACTGTGTCATACTAATTTTGTGACTTCGTTTATATTATTTCACCATCTAGAAGAACACCATTTGAACGTGATTAAATCATAATTCCACTAATTTTTGTTTATCCATCATTTTCAGTAGGAGAAGCGGTGTAAAGTATGGAAGGCAACGGGGTACGTATGTCACTTGGAAAAATTTGTTGTTCCCATTTGCACATTATATTTTCATTTTCTTTCATGTTTTTCATAAATCCAAGCGCATAGCAGAGTTTCTCCATGGTTAGAGGGTGAAAGTTTGAACAAAAGTTTAGGTCTAACCGGTCGGGTTATATGCAAAATGCTTTGTATATATGCTGTTGAGAGTGTACAGCTTGAAGTACAACTTTTTAGTCGACATGATTTTGATCTTACTTAACAAAGATTGACAATGTTTGAAAAATCAAACATGTTGCAGACCTGATATAGACAGCTTTTGAAAATCATAGATATGCCTGCATCTGAATGGCTACCTGCCACGTTAATTTCCACGAGGCTTTGGTTTCTGAATTCAATTTCTTTCTCAACAACTACGTACTTTGAACTCATCAGTTTCAGTAAAAGTTAGTTTTCTAGAAAAATGCTTGCTGATCCATGGACATACAGCATCGCCAGATTGAACATTGACTTTCTGACCCATTTTTTCAATGTTACTGATCAACAAAACCGTGAGAAGGCTTTGGCCATAAGCCGAGAATCCTACTCGTGACCTGTGCCTAGTTTTGGCCTCCAGCAGGAAG